CAGGTACACACAACGGACGGTGCGATGGGGAATGGTTAATGTGTTCACTGGTCACGCCAAAGACCTGGGTTCAATTCCCCCATCAGTAACAGGGGTGGAAATTTAAAAAAAAAACTTCACTTGCCATCGGACAAGTTTAAGCCAATTTTCACTTGCCCTGATTTCATTTTCACTTGCCCAAATAATTTCAAAATAAAACTTCAAATCATCAATATGTGTTAATCTCTTTCAACACCTTAGGCCGGTTTTCCCGTGAAGACGCATCGAGTCCCCAGACACCGTAGGCCAGTTTTCCGGCCAAGCCGTAGTCACGTCAGAATAGTATATATTTTTATGGACCTAGATCTACCTGTAATATCTTTCATTTATTAAATCTTTCGGAGCACCTTTAGAATAAAGTACCACAACTTCTCGTGAGGACGATCTCTGCCAAGACAAGCAACCAGTTTTTTGTGAGAATCCGTCGGACTCGAACCCGTGACCTTCGGATTGTTAGCCTGACAGCTAACCGACTGAGCTACGTCCACACTGTTAAACTTAGTGCAAATTTACCTAGTCATGCCTTTGACGTTACGGAACTGAACGAAAAGGGTCGAATAGGTAACGGACACTTACGAAGGTTACGGGTAGGCATGGTTTCTCGCAACTTTAGTCTACAGACACTTACGAATGATCCCGATGCCATTTGGCACACTCGTCCCATTCCGTAATCTACAAGATACCGAGTGGTGGGGAATGAGCCGATATGCCGCGAACTGAAAACGGCCTAGGCGTCAGACGTCAGACATCGAACTCGCGAGTACGCATGAATGATATGGTATTTAATAATTCGTCAGGTGATGTTTGTGACAGAAAAGGGTGGTAGGGAACACTGTAAGGATGATGTGGATAATAGTAAGGAACAATGGAGGAATTAGCATGACTAGTGACGACACAACGGTGAGTTGGCTTTTGAATCAGTACTGAAAAAATGTAGCCGGTGAAAGTGGCTTGTGTGAATGTTCCAGGACAGTTTCCAATAGCCAAAATATTCGACACAAAACCATTTCATCCTTTTTACTCGACGTTTTTGTGTGAAGAATATTAGGAGCAGCTATATAATCTATAATAGCCACTAAACGAGTACCTAACCCTAATGATCGTAAACGGGATCCAAGGGTTAAGGATAGACTTCGGGTAATCTAATAGCCACTAAACGGGTTCCTAACCCTAATGATCGTAAAGGGGGTGATTGATCGTAAAGGGGATCCAAGGGCTAAGGATAGAGAGTGCATAATAATGAAAATTAATGAACCGAAAAAATAATATATGTATATTAGTTCCCATTTATAACCATTTTATCCACTTCAATTACGAGAAAAACGAAATAAAAAATATATATAAAATATATAAAAATAAAAGTGCTTTCGTAAACTAGCCTAGCGCTTGCTCTAAAATGCGCCGCCGCAGGCTATAATTCGTAAACAAATACTCAAAACTCAACACCGCAGGGCGTATTCAATGACATTGCGTGTAGAGATGATAGATCACTGGGCATTGTTTCGCCGTTGTGACTGGCAACAAAATACTACAAATTACGTCATAGGGTATGATCACGTGTTTAAAAAGTTTGTGGTACTGTATTCTAAAGGTAGGCCCATCTTTCATATTTCACAACGTCTGAAATACGTATTCCATTTCAATTTATCATTTTTATCGATAAATTAAAAAATTATTCACTATTTCCCGCGATGTTATTGAAAATAACATTCTCGGACACACATTTCGACAACAGGTCCACATCGAACATGTCAAAGAGCAAAATAAAGACGTTTTAAGCAAATCTTTAAATATATTATACAAAGTGATAAATAAAATCAACAAAAATATATCTAAAAGTTATTTTTTCCATCGTTTCGTGCGATCGCGTGTAATGTAAGTCAAATGACATCTCGGCTTTCGTCGCCTTGAATTCTCGGCTCGGACACGATGTTTAGTAATGCAAAAATATATGCATGAAAAATCTTTGTCACAGCTCGTAACCTAGCACGATACATTCACGAAGTTCCATATTTTTTAATATATATCGTGATTTCCTGCTTTGAACGTTCAGAATAACACGATTTAACAAAAATCTTTCGCCAACTTCTGGAATTTATCAAACAGGAGCTTGGTATCACACCTGTAATTTGATTGGCTGCCTGAGGTCACATGCTCAAAATTGACCAATCACGAAACTTGTAGCAGATTTCGGCAAGAAAGCGTCATTAGAAACGAATTTTAATCCAATGAAATCGCTTGTTATAACTACGGGGGGAAAAAGGGGGGATGTTACGAAAGCGCGATTACGAAATATCTCTCAGCTAATTTATTGTACCATTTTACCAGTAGTTAGACATGTAGACAGTGATAGTAATTTCTAATATCACTTGCCTCCGGACAAGTTTAAGTAAGTGTTTTTTTTGCCCACCTCGTATATCTACTTGCCCCGGAGTCGGGAAATGGCAAATTTCCACCCCTGCTCAGTACAATGTGTGAAGCCCATTTCTAGTGTCCCGCGCCGTGATTTTGTTGGAATATTGCTCACTCACGCACACGGGGTATTCAAAGTCCTTGTGTGCATGTTTTAGTGACTTTGTAGTATGCAGGTCCAGTAGTTGGAAATCAACTAAATATCAAATCCACAAAATATATAATAAAATGCCAAACTGATTCCCAAAATAATCAGGATAATAATTCTTATTCCGTCCTTGGTTTCAGTATGGGACAGGGGACCTATAGTTCGCAACGCGGAGTTGCCTTCCGTTAGGGTACCGGAAACCTGTGACTACCAGTAGCTCCAAATCCCAGATTCGTACTGATTTTGTTTCTCTGGGTCAGCACCATACCCATGCTCGTGGGTTTCACCAATGTGATAAACATCTAAGACCTGCATCACTTTAGGTTTCCTCCCATGCAAGCAGTAAGGCTGTGATGTAACTGAAATACTCACACACTCACAAGAATAAATCTATTATCTCTACTTATCATAGGATATGATAGTATTTATTTATTCAGGCCTGGGCCAGCTGCACACACAGTGACTGCAGATCTGCCCAGTAATGCTCTGTTGTGAACATGACCATCAACTATTGAACATGCTGAAGTCATCTCACAACTGAACCGATCAAATACAGATATATATCAGCGTTCGAAATACCTGCCTGCCCGACCGTCCAAGACGGGTTGATTTCAACTCGGCCTGCGAGATTTTCAAATCCCCCTGCCCGACGGTCGGGTTATATTTCATAGGTGAAAATATTCTAAATATTTCCTGATGATAAGCATTAATTCACATGTAAAGATGAATGATAAAATGTAACCAAAAAGAACCCCGTTAGCTTTTAGACAACCTAACATTTAGCGATGTGATCAGTTTTCATATTTTTAATTAAATTATCCTGAGAAACATATGATTATAGTGGGCAGGCATGTTTTGGTCAGGCTGGCAAGTATTTCAGGTAGCCAGTCCTGTGGTCTGGCTGAAATTTTTGGGAGTTTCATACCCTGTATATATGTAACCATACTAACAAATATGGTACATTTAGACAGACAGACAGACGCTTTATCCAATAACAGACCACATGCCCATAATACATTGATAGAGCATGATTTATCATGCATGCTGGAGTAAAATATATTGGGGACAGTTGCATTCTGAGAAAAAAGGGTGCTCAATATTTATTAATTTGTAGGTTTTTCCTGAGAACACACCTATGTTATGAAGAACAAGGTTATCAAGATTATGTTTGCATTAGCTGTGTAAAGTACTTAGTGTGATGTGGAATGTCGCTTGTTAAAAAATGTTTTGTGTTATCCATACATCTACAAACTCCTACTTTATTATGTGGAATAATCTAGCTGATCACCCTAAGTACAATATTAGATAGTGACTGTCCGTTTCACTTGTGACACTATTTTACTGGAATATAGTCTCCAGACAGGGGAGGAATCTGGCCACCCTTTGTCTTGTTTAGTTTCCATGTTGTTACATGTTTAACTTTGCATCTAACACAATTCCCACCCGTGAAGATCCGGGGTAGAATAGGTCTTCAGCAACCCATTCTTGTCATAAGAAATCGGGTGGTCAGGCTCGCTGACTGGGTTGATGCATGTCATCGAATCCCAATTGCATGGATCAATGCTCATTATGTCAATCACTTGATTGTCTGGTCCAGACTTGATTATTTACAGACCGCTGTCTTATGGCTGGAATTTTGCTGAGTGCGGCATTAAACAGCAAATAAACAAAGAAACAAACACAATTCCAACTATGTGTACAATTAGGACAGAAGCTGGTATATAATTGAGTCTGGACCAGACAATCTAGTGATTGATGACATGCAATCAATCAAGTCACTGAGTGTGACCACCTGATCCATCTTACAATAAGCATAGGTCTCGGGGGGGATAGCAAATAACATGGTGTCAGAAGCCTCACTCATACATAGGGCTGTGTATTGGCAATAGATTTGTATTGCGATATATATATTGGGAGTTAAAGTGTTTGACAGTGGGTGACACTGATATTGTACATGCAGATCCTATTTTCTTTATATTATGATGTCAAAGTCAGCATGGCCAATCGATGCTGTTTTGGAGTCATTGGTGCAGGGGAGATAACGTGTGAGAAAAATCCACTTCACATTTTTGCCATTTTGTCAATAAATTTTTTTCGAAGGGAAACATCATTTGTGAATGAATTTCTGTGTAAATTTGGGTTTAATGATACAAATGATATTAAAACTTGTTCTATGTTTTTTACCCAGTGTACTGGAACATAGAAAAAATATAGCAATGCATAAGTGTATTGTAATATACCCGTGTGCCGATAATACCTTGTATTCCTACTCATAAGGTCCAGGACCCGTGAAGATTCCGGGGTAGAATAGGAAATGCCAGTGAACATCAGTATGTAATTATACTGAAACACTATGCAGGTAGTACATGCATGTCATGCAGTGTGTATTTGCTCTTTACAGTGACCTTGCAGTGGACCCACCATCATGGAGAACCAGACCAACAGCATGAGTCCGGAGGAGAAGCTTGACCTTCTCAAGAGGAATCTACAGGTGTGCCATACTAAGATAAACCACTTTTAATACAGCTGTGGGTTTAAGGTACTGCAGCTCGCTGTACAGAGTTGCGTCTCTTGGCTGAGTCAGGATTCAGCTGTCTTGGGTTTGGATCAGAGAGTCATTCTTCTTCTTTGATAGGCATTTAGAAGTTGGAGTACTAAGTAAGGATAAGAATTTATGGATGAACAACTTCTTTATTACAATTAAGAGCGACGTTTCGAAATAGGTTCTAACACCGTTATCAAGCAAGTGTCATTCTACTGGTCATCCTTGGTTTGTCAGCACCTTGCCAGTGCTTGTTGTCACCAAAGCAAGAAACGTCTTCGCCTTGCATCACTTTGGATCAGTGTTTGAAATAAAAACAAATTGCCAGGCTGTCATCAGGACCCACGGACTTTAGACATTTTTGAAGCTGCAGGTCCTTACTAAGCTCTTCAGGCCCTCATTTAAAAAACTACAGCTTATTGTGACGTAAATTAGTGCACGCCACAAGGTCCCATGCAACTTTGAAACTGCAGGCCCGACACACAAGATCGACCTGCCACAGGCCTACGGGCACGCACTTATTTCAAACACTGCTTTGGACATCCCTTTCATATTAAGTTGACACTCCTTGATACAACTGAAATACTAGCCCATTTTGAGTAACTTTAAATACAAGCTCACTCACACACAACATGCCAAATACATCAACTGCGAACGCTCACATCAATAGGATTCTTTTTTGAAGTAATAACTATTTCCTTTGTCTTGATCAACAATACTGTGTTTATTTTGACAGGAAGTTCTTGGGGAGGATCGCTTGCTGCCAGTGTTGAAGGAAAGGGATGTGAAGATCTACTGGGGCACAGCCACAACGGGCAAGCCTCACGTCGGCTACTTCGTGCCCATGTCCAAGGTGGCCGACTTCCTCAGGGCCGGGGCAGAGGTTGGTATTCTCCATTGTAACCATGGTAACATTTCATGTCTGGGTCATCTGTTTGTTGATATTGTCCACTGACAAGCATGGAAAAAATGTTTTGATGATATGTCGTGTGGATAATGTCTACTCGACACTGTAACCATGGTAACATAGCATGTCTAGATGGTGTGAACTGTGAGTGTTGGCAACTTTAACCATGGTAACGGGGCATGTCTAGATCATGTTTCCTGTGGGTATTGTCCACTGTAACCATGGAAATCTCTCTGGATATTGTTCACTGTAACCATAGCCTGTTTCTGGTTTGCTTGGCCCACACTTACAACTATTTTCTGGAAAAAAACGTGATCTTTTTTTCCCTATCGTTCTCACAACTGTTCCCGTAAATCCTGATAAGGTTCTTTCACAAGTCTGTCTTAGACATCTTCCCGAGGCAAGTGAGTTAACTGATTATAAAAGTCCAGTTTCCATCCTTGCCGAACTAGGCTGGTATTATGGAGTTACATTTTGGCTGGACTAATGAATCTATGCAAAGTCCAATCAAAATCGCACTCCTAAATCGAAATCCAGTTGGTAAACTGTCATGCAGATTTCGGTCGATTGCAGGATTTGCAAAGCATGTGCACCGCTAACTCGTTGTCAACAGATATTTTCTCAATCTTTACATGTTTTTAATCAAGGTGCTCACGTGATTTGATGCACTTCGCGATGTTAGACTCGTTTTATCACGAATATATAGATCTTGATTATCGATCAGATCGTCTTGACTGGGCGCTGCTGTTTTGTTTGAAGTAAATGCAAGTTATAAGAGAGGTGGAATCTGGCTGGTCCATAGGAGAGGCATAGAACGGACATAACTCGTGATAGCTACTGGTGGCACTACGATCGAGCCCAGGAATTACAGCATAGTTTGACAAGGGTGGAAACTGGACCTTTTAAAGTCAGTTAACTCTCTTGCCTCGGGAAGATGGTCTCAGAGAACAGTCTCATACTAAAGTCCTATTTATAGCACACACATGTACCAAATGAACAGTTCATTCACACCCCGCTTTTCACCTTACACTTTACAATCAAGACCTGCGACCCAGGCTTCTGTGGAAATCAGGATCTATATGCAGCACTAGCATCACTGTTGTATAACGCCAATTGAACCTGAGCCTTGACCTGCATGACTCTGTTCCCAGGTGACGATCCTGTTTGCGGACCTGCACGCGTACCTGGACAACATGAAGGCTCCGTGGGAGCTGCTGCAGGAGCGGGTCAAGTACTACGAGCACATCATCAAGTCCATGCTGCGCTCCATCGGGGTCCCGCTCGACAAGCTCAAGTTTGTGCGAGGAACAGACTACCAGCTCAGCAAGTGAGGTTCATTTTAATCTCGAGTGGTCATATTGATAACTAAAACAATAAAGATATGATAGTGGGAAGGCTTGGTAAAAAACTTGCATGGAGGCAAATTAGCCTGAAACATTTTCAAGTGATAACACATAGGACTTCTTCAAGCCTACAAATCTCCCAGACAAAATGGCTTACACTAGTGGCCTAGCACCTTGTTGCAAACAAGCCTTGTTTGCAGTGGTGAAATCACCCTTTGTGTTTAATAGTTTCCTAAGACAATGTTTGGATTCATTTCTTGGACAAAATTCTCCACAAAATTGAGTCCATGTTTGTTTCACTTCTTGTTGTTTGTAATTGTGTGATATTTTATGGTGAAGATATTTAAATACATCCAAACCAGTGGCATCATCAGCTGCCTGTAATGAGTCTGTATCTTTCAGAGAATACACATTGGATGTGTACAAGTTGTCGTCATTGGTGACAGAACATGATGCCAAGAAGGCTGGCGCCGAGGTGGTCAAGCAGGTGGATCACCCCCTCCTGAGTGGACTGCTGTACCCCGGACTGCAGGTGGGTGTGTCATGGGTTGCAGGTGGGTGTGTAATGGGTTGCAGGTGGGTGTGTCATGGGTTGCAGGTGGGTGTGTCATGGACTGCAGGTGGGTGTGTCATGGGCTGTAGGTGGGTGTGTCATGGGCTGTAGGTGGGTGTGTCATGGGCTGTAGGTGGGTGTGTCATGGGCTGTAGGTGTGTGAGACATGGGCTGTAGGTGTGTGAGACATGGGTTGTAGGTGGGTGTGTCATGGGCTGCAGGGTTGTGTGTCATGGGCTGTAGGTGGGTGTGTCATGGGCTGTAGGTGGGTGTGTCATGGGCTGTAGGTGGGTGTGTCATGGGTTGCAGGTGGGTGTGTCATGGGCTGCAGGTGGGTGTGTCATGGGCTGTAGGTGGGTGTGTCATGGGCTGCAGGTTGGTGTGTCATGGGTTGTAGGTGTGTGTGTCATGGGCTGCAGGTGGGTGTGTCATGGGTTGCAGGTGGGTGTGTCATGGGCTGCAGGTGGGTGTGTCATGGGTTGTAGGTGTGTGTGTCATGGGCTGTAGGTGTGTGTGTCATGGGTTGTAGGTGTGTGTGTCATGGGCTGTAGGTGGGTGTGTCATGGGTTGTAGGTGGGTGTGTCATGGGCTGCAGGTGGGTGTATCATTGGCTGCAGGTGTGTGTGTCATGGGTTGTAGGTGTGTGTGTCATGGGCTGCAGGTGTGTGTGTCATGGGTTGTAGGTGTGTGTGTCATGGGTTGCAGGTGTGTGTGTCATGGGCTGTAGGTGTGTGTGTCATGGGTTGTAGGTGTGTGTGTCATGGGTTGTAGGTGTGTGTGTTATGGGCTGCAGGTGGGTGTGTCATGGGTTGTAGGTGTGTGTGTCATGGGCTGTAGGTGGGTGTGTCATGGGCTGTAGGTGTGTGTGTCATGGGCTGTAGGTGGGTGTGTCATGGGCTGTAGGTGGGTGTGTCATGGGCTGCAGGTGTGTGTATCATGGGCTGCAGGTGTGTGTGTCATGGGTTGTAGGTGTGTGTGTCATGGGCTGCAGGTGTGTGTGTCATGGGTTGTAGGTGTGTGTGTCATGGGTTGCAGGTGGGTGTGTCATTGGCTGTAGGTGGGTGTGTCATGGGCTGTAGGTGGGTGTGTCATGGACTGTAGGTGTGTGTGTCATGGGTTGTAGGTGGGTGTGTCATGGGCTGTAGGTGGGTGTGTCATGGGTTGTAGGTGTGTGTGTCATGGCTGTAGGTGGGTGTGTCATGGGTTGTAGGTGTGTGTGTCATGGGCTGTAGGTGGGTGTGTCATGGGTTGTAGGTGGGTGTGTCATGGGCTGTAGGTGGGTGTCATGGGTTATAGATGGGTGTGTCATGGGTTGTAGGTGGGTGTCATGGGTTGTAGGTTGGTGTGTCATGGGTTATAGGTGGGTGTCATGGGTTGTAGGTGGGTGTCATGGGTTGTAGGTGTGTGTGTCATGGGTTGTAGGTGTGTGTGTCATGGGCTGCAGGTGTGTGTGTCATGGGTTGTAGGTGTGTGTGTCATGGGTTGGAGGTGGGTGTGTCTTTGGTTGTAGGTTGGTGTATTGTAGGTGGGTGTGTCATGGGTTGTAGGTGGGTGTATCATGGGATGTAGGTGTGTGAGACATGGGCTGTAGGTGGGTGTGTCATGGGTTGTAGGTGTGTCTGTCATGGGCTGTAGGTGGGTGTGTCATGGGTTGTAGGTGGGTGTGTCATGGGCTGCAGGTGGGTGTGTCATGGGCTGTAGGTGGGTGTGTCATGGGCTGCAGGTGGGTGTGTCATGGGTTGTAGGTGTGTGTGTCATGGGCTGCAGGTGGGTGTGTCATGGGTTGTAGGTGTGTGTGTCATGGGTTGCAGGTGGGTGTGTCATGGGTTGTAGGTGTGTGTGTGTCATGGGTTGTAGGTGGATGTGTCATGGGTTGTAGGTGGGCGTGTTGTGGGTTGTAGGTGGGTGTGTCATGGGTTGTAGGTGTGTCATGGGTTGTAGGTGGGTGTGTCATTGGTGGTATATGCATGTGTCATGGCTTGTGTGACACTTTCTTGAAAAGGGGAGATCTGATGGGGAGTGCTAACATTTCAGTTTTGTGTTAGTACTCTCATGGGTAAATGTGACATTTGTTCCAAAGAAGTAATCTTATTGCTAGTTTTACAACAGTAATGATAAGACTGCTTTGTGGGCAGAGGCCAAGGAAGTATCTGGTGATAGTGACATGGTGGACAGATGTGTAGCAGGGACATGTTTCACTGTTTTACATTCCTGACCCTGTGTTCCAGGCCCTGGATGAAGAATACCTGAAGGTTGACATACAGTTCGGTGGCGTTGATCAGAGGAAAATCTTCACATTTGCAGAAAAGGTATTTCAGTAATGAGTTTGTTAAGAGATTTATTTGGACCACTAACCCTTTTTGGTAAAATTAGTTATCTGTTAAAACAATGGTTGAGAAGTTAACACAAATGCTTAAAATTCTTAATTTGTAAAATTGTGGATTATCTGTTGTCCTATCAATTCACATATATTTAATGTTTGCTACAACACAATGTAACAATGCATGTAATGTGAACGTCTGGTGCCTTGCAGTACCTCCCACACTTGGGCTACAAGAAGAGGATGCACTTCATGAACCCCATGGGTAAGTAACATCTGAAGCCCCATCACTGATTGGTGCTTAGTGCTTGATGTCAAATAGTGCATCAGCTGTGTGTATTGCGGTAACCATAGTATTAGTAGCCATGGTAACCAATAAGCTGTCATATTTGCAGTTCCCGGTCTAACAGGATCCAAGATGAGTTCGTCAGACCCGGATTCCAAGATCGACCTGCTAGACTCACCAGCTCAAGTGAAGAAGAAGTTGAAGAAGGCGTTCTGTGAGCCGGGGAACATCGAGGACAATGGCCTGCTCTCCTTCTGCAAGTTTGTCCTCTTCCCCCTCAGCACAGATGGAGGTGTGTCCACTCAGCTCAGTTATCCTGCATACATCACCGTCTTTCTTATCATTAACTTCCCTGGGATTTTCTCTCGCACATAAGTGTAATTTGATTGGATCAAGGGGATCAGGGGGTCAGACTTGGTGACTTGGTTGATTTGATGTCATCATATCCCAGTGTAATCTCAATCACTGATTTGTCTGGAGCAGACTAGATTATATACAGTGAGTGAGTGAGTGAGTTGGATTTAACGCCGCTTTTAACAGTATTCCAGTTATATCACGGCGTGTCAGCTTAATGTGGGAGGAAAGCCCGAAGTGATGCAGGTCTCAGACGTTTACCACTTCGGTGAAACCCACGAGCACGGGTATGGTGCTGACAAACCTAGAAACATAATCAGGGCGAACTGGGATTCGAACCCACAATCATAGGTTTCTGGCGTGCCCAAAGGACGCAACTCTGCACAGCGAATCGCGGCGCCTTAGATAACTGGGCCACCCGTGCCCCCAGATTATATACAGACTGTCGTCATATACATTAAACTATGGTCATAACAAACTCAAAGGGACCACTGATTTTAATTCATTATAATCGTAGTTTGTTATAAGCATATATACAGCAGAAATACAGCAAATGCCTGGGACCATAAAAAAGTTTGTTATATCCATCCGTTCATTATGAACGTGTTGGTTATAAACGTAGTTTACTGTATTTGGTTTTGTGCTGAGAGCTGCGTTAAACAAAAAACAAACAAACATATTCTCGTACATCAACCACTGGTGAATGCAAAGTTTAAGAAACCATATTGGTTAACATGGGTACTTGTTATTAAACTGATGGATTTCTGTTACAGAATTTAAAGTTGAAAGAGCAGAAGAATTTGGAGGAAACCAAATATTTACCAAGTTTGAGGATTTACAAGAAGCATTTAGAAAGGAGGTAATAACGACACAACTGTTTGAGAAATGGTTTGGAATGGAACATGAATGTTTATACAGGAACCAGGGGTATCATGAGATTATTGTTCTTATTGTGACGTGTCGATTCCCAAATTGAAATATTTATTAACCTAGAAATCTGTACGTAAATAGAGGATATTTCATGTGTCGAGTGAAATATCATGTTTCTCTCACCGAGGTGACGGGGGGAAAGGAGATATTTTCACGAGTGGCGTATACTTTTGGTGTTGTTATCTGCAGGAAGATTAAATTATTTCATTACAAATGTAAAACCTTCAAGCGTAAATTCTCCCTACATAACACACGTGGACGGTAAGTACGACTAAAAATGTAGTTCTGTCTTTGCTAAATCTTAAAAAATATAAACAAAAGTAACCAAAAATATTTGATGTCACTAAAATTCTTTAGTATATATTTGGATATGATTATATACAAAATCAACTTCATCAAAAAATAAATTTCAAATCAATGAGATGGTTGTTCGAAGCGAAAGAATACACGTAATTCAAGTAACAAAATGGCGCTTTGCGAAACGTAAAGTATCGACTGACAAATCAGAAGAGAAATTCACAGTTTAATACAAATCATTTTCAACAAAATAACAAATGGTAAGAATCTGTATTAACTACATAAATGACCATCTGTCATTATATGACTTGTTAACGTTGAACTGACGTAAATCAACAGTTTGTGTACGAGCTGTCTCGTGTAGGCCAACATAGTTCCGTCAACGTGTTATGTTCACTGCAGTGAAATATCAGGTGTTATGTTCACTGCAGTGAAATATCAAGTGTTATGTTCACAGCAATGAAAATATCACTTTTCTCAACTTCAGAAAACTCAGTCTTTCACACTGAAGTATATAATAAAAGAATTTAGTGTAAAACCAACAAACAACAAATGGTATAATAACTATGAAAAGAACAAACTGTGGATGATTGTTGTTATCTGTGAATATCACATATATGAATGTGAACGTATTATGATAGACAGCATATGTGAAAGGTGAATATCACGCCAAGGCAGCAGTCCGAATATTAAGTGTAAGATCTGGTCATTGGTTCAATATGTTTGCTCCGTTAGCGCCATAACCCTGCTCATGGGTTACACTAAGTGTCTTACTTTCCTCTCACTTTGTGTGAGTTTATTTGAGTATGAACCTTCATAGAGTGAGGACCAAACTGTTTGACAATCAGAGGTTGGATGGGTCGTGTCAAGGATATTCGTGATGCAGTCAAACTTTGACTTGTCTCAATGTATGCTGAAATGCAGTGTTCAAGATTAAGGGGTCTGGATGATCAGAAACAAGGCTTCTGCATGTATTCATGCTCAGGAATTTTCAGGGTTTTCCTCATGAATGTTAAAGTAGTCCATCATTTCAATAATTCAGTCTCATGAAAAAAGTATGAATGTCAAAATGTGTTTTTCATACGCTTATAAACGCCGGTTTCATGGTCATGTGACCGACCTCTCGTCCAGTGAAAAAAGGGTACATCTTGTAAACTTCCCATTAAAAATGTATCATGTGTTGGCTTTCCTCCCCAAAAGCTACACTGTGATATTACTGAACCCTGTTCAACTCCCTCCTCTGTTACCCAGGAGCTGCACCCCGGGGACCTGAAGGCAGCGGTGGAGGTCTACCTCAACCGGATGCTTGAGCCCATCAGGAAGGACTTCGAAGCCCAAGAACTCAAGAAGATCACTGCCAAGGCCTACCCAGTTGTCAAAACAAGTGAGGTTATTTTCTTTAGACATCCAGTCTGAAATTCAGTGGCATGGACCATTTTTAATGAAATGCTTCATACGTCCGTGAGCTCATCTGAGTGAGTGTATGAGCAAAGTGAGGAACTCTGGTATGCCTGCGGGGTGTATTTGTGTTCACTGTGCAACTGGGGGCACGGGTGGCCCAGTCGTCTAAGGTGCCGCGGTTCGCTGTGCAGAGTTGCATCCCTTGGGCACGTCAGAAACCTATGATTGTGGGTTCGAATCCCGGTTCGCCCCCATTATGTTTCTAGGTTTGTCAGCACCATACCCGTACTCATGGGTTTCACCGAAGTGGTAAACATCTGAGATCTGCATCACTTCAGGTTTTCCTCCCACATTAAGTTGACACGCCGCGATAAACTTGAATAGTGTTAATACGGCGTTAAATCCAACTCACTCACTGTGCAACTTTAATTGTCGTGTAATGGGATTCGTTTTACAACATATTGTAAGTTTTTCACCAAAATGAACACACGCAGGTGAGAATCATAGACTAAAAGACAAATCATCCAAAATGGGGCTTACATGTCCAAGAAAACATTTCCATTTGACGACAGGTCGAGTATTACGACAAATGTGAATGAAAATTGCACCACGACATTCTTTAGATTATGGCGCCACTGCATTGAAAGCTTGTTTTGTGACATAATAGCTCTGTAGGACATCATCAATTAAATGTTGCTGCATGCTACAAATTGAGGGAAATATAAAAATGTACACATAGTCAAATAATTCCTGACTAACTTATTATACTTTCAAAAGACCTTCTGTAAACACAATTGAAGTGAACTGTTTAAATCAGTTGTGTTAATGGTGGTTTGAACACTTTAGCCTGCTAGTCCCTGTGTATATGTGAAGTGATTGTGTTACAGAAGCACCCAAGGGAGGGGCAGCGTCCCAGCAGACAGAGGAGATCATCCCCTCCAGACTCGATCTTAGAGTCGGCAGAATCACAGAAGTCTGCAAGGTAGGAAAAGTTACAGAATACTGGTCCATTTATTCCACAGCCTCACCTTGATGGAGTAAAGTATTCATCTGGCAGTGTGAAGTCACTGCTAACTGATCATGATTAATACTTATAAACCTATTCATTGTGATCGCTATTAAGTAAGAGGCTTCTTTCTATAGGCATTAAAACCTATTGTGAGGTTTTACTTTCCAGTCGGGTTAAATCTCATAAACAGGGACGTTGTAATGTCCCTGGGATTTTATATAATATCGCAGGGATTTTATAGGATATTCAAGTCAAATTTGCTGTAATATCCCAGGGATTTTATATAATGTCCTGGGTATTTTATTAATGTAACTTCCGTTCAGATTGTAACATGTAATGAAATTTAAAATCAAATGATAAATGTTTTCTTTATATTCCCAAAGATCGAACTCGCAACCTTCATATCTGTAGCCCACTGAGTGTACCACGAGGCTACAGAGGTGTTGATAAGCCACATTGGTTTTTAGAATGTCCTTTTCAAGATCCGTACGCCAGCAACAGATATTTTACCCGCGTTTCCTAATGTTCATGGAAAGTATTTCGAAACATAAAAATGTTGATAAATGTTGTTTTAAGTTTCTTTTTTTTCGGTTTATAAGCATGGAAAAACACTTTCCCTCAGTTTTGGTAGACAGAGCATGCCTTGTGGGTCAGGAAAAAACCGCGGGGGCTTCGCCCCCTTGGTTTTTCCCTCTCCCCAGGCCATGCTCTGTCTACCAAAACCTCGTAAGCGTGTTTTCTCCAATACTAAATAACTCAAGACGCACAAAGTTACTGGTAATTGTTTAGTCATTTAGCACAGTTGCACTATATTTGACATAGGTACAGCTTGAATGTTAGATTCAAGATATTATATCTTTCTTTGGATGGAAATCTGGTAAAATGAGTCTTTTCATGTTACTACAACCCCCAAAAGATTCTGGGGCAGAGTAAATTTCCATTACCCCAGGTTTGTCATAATCACATACGATCAACCATACATCTGATGGTTATTTACAGGTGCAGTGATTTGAACAACATGCAAGCAATATATCAACATTCACATCAAGCAATAAACTTTATAGCATGTACATTGTTTTCAGATTTCCCGGAAAGACACTAGTTGCTGACAACTAATCTTTTCAATCAAGGTTTCACTATCAAAAGCCGGGTTAAATCATTCCAGTAATTTTATGGTAGACAGGCTTGTCAACATGTTTAGCAGGACATACTTATCCTTATTGCGAACACCTGGTGTCATCAGAGATTTTTAGTGAAACATTCATATTTTTTCATCATTGATTTTTCATTTCACACCACATGGTGTCTGTTTCAGCATATACTGTATATCTTGAAATTAATGCGTCTCCAATTAATGCGACCGTTGAGCCCTAGCCAAAAATGTGACTCAATATCAATGTGACTCCCCCCACCCCATCCCCAGTGGAATGATGCATATCCTTACCTTAATCCAATCAAACAGCAGATAGCACTGCTTATTAGCCCTGAGTAGAGAACTTCCGTAACTTCAATAAACAGTGTTTTCCTAAAAACAACTTTCAGTTTATATGTTTACTCGGTTGACTGGCATTAAGGAAGTTCAAAGGCAATACAATAATTGAACCAACAACAGTTCACTGATTGGTATGCCGAGAAGGTGTCAACAAGTCTTGACACAAGTAGTTATAACTCTTGACCACAGCAGTGATAACTCACCAGATGCCCATTGTGTAATTTCTATTCTTTGAATGACATTGTTATATACTTGTTACAACTGCCGTCAATAAACCGTGTTTGTGTTTATATTCAAGTTGGTATTTCCGCTATCCAAAGTGTGCAGTAAGGCCGTCTCATTGTTGATAGTCATTTTTGAGACCTAAATGTGAAGTAATGCAAATGAAGACCACTCACATTTTTTGCATTTAGTTCACACTCACATTAATTTCAAGATTTACAGTATACAAGACTGATTAATCTCTGGCATTGAAATGTTGAATTGACTCCCTCCCTTGTGATGTGCAGCATCCTGATGCAGACAGCCTGTACATGGAGACGGTGGACCTGGGGGAGGAGGGGTCGACACGGACGGTCATCAGCGGCCTGGCCGGTCTCTACCCCATGGAGGACTTGAAGGACAGGCTTGGAGTGTTCCTGTGCAACCTGAAGCCTCAGAAGATGCGGGGCATCGAGTCGCAGGCCATGCTCATGTGTGCCTCGGTGTGAGTAGACACAAGCTGGCAGGACTGAGATCTCTTATTAATCACCAGGATAAGCATACGTGTGTGAGCACGAGCATCTGATCCATTATGTCACCTCTTACAACCCGCATTGTTTCATATGGACCAGTTCTAACCGGCATCATCATGGGTACCCAAAGACGCCTCTTATGTCTAGCTGACCTGTGAAGATCCAGGGTAGAATAGGTCTTCAACAACCCATGCTTGCCCTAAAAGGCCACTATGTTTGACGTAAGAGGCGACTAACGGAATCTGGTGGTCAGGCTCGCTAACTTGGTTGAGGCATGTCATCATCTCTCAATTGCATGGATCGATGCTCATGATGTCAATCACTGGATTGTCTGATCCACATTCGATTATTTACAGACCGCAGTCATATGGCTGGAATATTGCTGAGTGCGGCGTTAAACAACAAACAAACAAACAAAAAACAAAAAAACTTATGTCTAGCTATGCAGTGCTGGGGATACATTCTAGCATTGGTCCCCACTTTTGCTTTCAAACAGCAGAACATGTCTGTTGGGTAGTTTCACTGCAACTTGCATAAGACTGTTTATATGTAATTGGCTGGTTTACAAAGAATGGTTTCATCTTCTAAACAGCTATGACTTATATGACACACATGTTCCTGGGAAGACATCACCTGTTCATTAAACATAGTCGGCTCCAAAAGCGTTTGTAATAGTATTTATGTCTATTTATAACATTGGTTTCTGTAAACTGCCAACCCGGTGAAGACCCGGGGTAGAGTAGGTCTTCAGCAACCCAAGCTTGCCATAAATGGTGATTATGCTTGTCGTAAGACGCGACTAATGGGATCGGGTGGTCAGGCTCGCTGACTTGGTTGATGCATGTCATTGTTTCCTTATTGTGTGGATCCATGCTCATGATGTCAATCACTGGATTGTCTTGTCCAGACTTGATTATTTACAGACCGCGGTCATATAGCTGAAATATCGCTGATTGTGGCGTTAAACAACAAACAGACAAACAAACAAACAAAACTGTAAAGTGCCTAAAAAAATGAAGGGCGTAAAGAACAAATCAATCGTCCGACAGAATTTTGAATGTTGAGTTGTTGAGTATATAACAGTAACGACACTAAAGATGCTGATGATGTGTTTCTGTGCAGGGATGATCCCCGGGCCGTGGAGCCTCTTGACCCCCCTGAGGGCAGCGCCCCAGGGGACAGGGTGTTCGTGGAGGGTTACGAGAAGGGCACACCGGACGAAGAATTAAAACCCAAGAAGAAAGTCTGGGAAAAATTACAGGTAAGTTTATCTTATTGAAACCATTAGAATGATACAAAAACAGTCCTAGAAAATGTTAAATCTATTGATTAACACCAGCAGACGTAACAGTTAAGTGGTCATTGCTATCGTGTTCTTACAAAACTTCTTCGTTATCATGTAAGTAGAATTTGCATTCATTTCTTTTTTTTTCGCAGCCGGACTTTTTAACAAGTGGATCTTCTGTGGCAGAATGGCAGGGTAACCCTTTGATGACGAAACTTGGAACAGTCACTTGTAAATCTCTTAAGTCATCACCTATTAAATAATGGAGGAATATTTACTAGTTACCTGTTTCAATCTCTCCTGTATGGTCCTGTAAATGGTGACAAAACATACAACTTGATGGATGACAACTTCTGGTTTTTTGCATATCGCGACGTTTCATTGTTGATTCTTACTCCGCTGTCAAGTTAGAATACACTCTAGCTTGATAACAGTGTAAGAATTTACATTGAATAGTCACTACATGTAATAAACCAGAAGTTGTTACCTATAAAAATGTATGTTTTCTTATTTACCGGTACTCACCAACTTCCAAAATGCCAATGAAACAGTTCAGTGGACACAAGTACTATTTGGTTACAACATATTAAATGGCATTAATCAGGTGATTAATTTTGAGCTATATCAAACTGTCGCCTTGGCACAGTCTGCTTTGTTATAACTAGCAAAAACTTGTCGAATATTTGATTGAACTTTATATGAAAGCAAAAAGTGTTTGGCCCAAATGAACAATATTTGATCGATCCTTAAAAATTACCAAGGAAAATGACAATGATTTTGTTTTATATGAGATGTTTATATGCATATATTCTTTGTTCTCATGTAATTATCACATCTAAATGTATTACATGTATATATACTTTTAAGAATTGGACCCCAGCAACCTGTGCTGGTCATATGAGTCGTTCCCGACATGGGTACAATGTGTGAAGCCCATTTCTGGTGTCCCCGCCGTGGTATTGCTGGAATATTGCTAAAAGCGGCGTAAAACCATATTCACTCACTCACTCACTCACTCACTCACTCACTCACTCACTCACTCACTCACTCACTCACTCACTCACTCATATAAATCGACTTAATGGGTTGAGTGCTCAACCTCAGTGACGTGGTTGATTGTTTCTGTACTCTGACGATGTGGATCATTGCTCATATCAATCACCGGATTGTCAGGTCCAGGCTCTATTAATTACAGGCCGCCATCATACATATGGAATACTGCTGAGTGCGGCATTAAACAATAAAGATACACACATGTACAGACTTTAGTCAAAGAACGGTTTTCTGAGGCAGATATGTTGTCAAGTGCTGTGAGTCAAGCCTACTGCAACAATAATCTTGAACAAAACGTTGAACCGCATTTCTCCTCACCTCCTGCAGATGACTGTATTTTATAATTTGAAAAGATTGATGTGAACTCAAGAAATAAAGACATGAATAGTATCATTACAGTCAGTATGGGTACAGTGTGTGAAGCTCATTTCTGGTGTCCCGCACCATGATATTGCTGGAATATTGCTAAAAGCGACGTAAAACCAAACCCACTAAGTCACTCAGTCTTGTTCAGGCAATGGTTCTTTATCATCCAAAACTGGCTCCCACAGGAGATATCGCTTGGATGAGATCAAGCGATATCTACACTGTAGATATCGCTGCAATGAAATTACATCACAATGCTTTGCAGACCATTGTGACACCTGTTGATAAAAGTGGCAAAAATCCTCGGCAAGCCTAGGAATTTTTCCACTTTCACCAACTCGTGTTGATATATTTGATATCAAAAGACACTCTGGTGAGATTCTCTATTTCTTACACTGATATTGCCTCAAAGAGAGAGTTACATTGAAGGACAATAGGAAATGCAAAATATGTAGAAATGATCAGTGATCACAAAAGGATTGTAATGTCTTGACATGACAGAGCTGACTGTAGGTGATGATGTCTACTTCTCCACAAACCAGGTGGACATATGTCCAAGATGATGCTAAAGAAATACAAACACAATTCCTTAATAAATCCTGCAAGCATACTGTCTAGTTTTAAGTCGTATGCAGGTAGGTTTTTGTCTTCTTCAAAACAAACTTAACTACTGTAAACAGCTTTATTTCTGCGCCGTTAAAATATTGCGAATACCACAGCGAAGACAATACTGCGACGAGATATTTTTGCGAGTTGCCGTGTTGATAATTGATAATTGACTCAACTCAGTGCCATGACTGTGAGTTTGAATGCAAACAGGTAACAGTGACACTAATTGGTCTGTTAACACTGTCATTTGTGATGTATTGTGTGACCATTCTGCATTCATTTGTGAGAACTTATTGAGTAACTTGTGGTTCTGGTTGATGATTTCAACATTTGATGACGTGTTGCAATGAATAAAGTATGTATGTATTATTTATACTTATTTTTGCGTTTTTAATTTTTGCGATTGAGTCTCGTTCGCAAAACTCGCAGTAATTAAACGCTCGCAAAAAATTCCCTGTTTACAGTTCTCATATGGCTGGTTTTGCTGATGCATTAGGCCTGAGACCCAACATTCATTTTCTTAGCCGTAGCTTGTTTAACATCAAAATATTTTATCACGGTTGCCATGATATGACTGGGGACAAATGTCTTCATGTAATAAAGCAATTTATGCAATGGGGTTTCCCATTCAAGGATGAGATGAGTTTGTCATTTCTCATTTAATTCTCATGTTGCTGCTAGTTGGATACTCGTTGCTACTCGTGAGGATCAGGTCTTTCCTACTGCGGTGCAGAAAGTTGAGAAAGTTGCTTGTGCTATCAACAACTGGTTTGTCTGGCCTAGACTTGATTATTGACAAACCTGATCCTTGAAGATGGATCAACCAGTATGTAATTGAGGGATGGTATTGCGTCAGGTATTATCTTCATCTTGACCTCGCATTGATTGTCCTCAGACCAGACACAGCCATTTTCCATAGAAACCTGCTTAGGAAGTGAGCTAGACGAAGTGCCCAGCAGCCTTGAGGTTTGAAATGCTAGAGAAACTGCTCGTTGTCACTGGGGAATCTGGAATGGCAGTTATTTTCTGGACCCTCTGCTTGTGTTGGACAGCCGACACAGGTTGGTCCCTTTCGCCGATAATGACTTCTTCTGTGGTACAAGAATCATCATAAATATTTGCTTGATATTGTTTGAACCAACCATCGGAAACAATATAAGGATTGCCAAAATTGAACCCACACCATTGCGTCAGACTTTATTCACATACCCACAGCATGAACTACCGGCGCTCTGTCTCATAACTACCGATTTTGAACTGTTTCATTTGTTGTACTTGTGACAGTTGACAGATGAAGTTTGACTTGAACAGTTTTCAGTTTTTGTATAATTAACTAAATAAGGGATGTTAACATGTTAATGTGGCAATTGTCCTGCTCCCTGAAATAAACCAAGTACCCACTCTCTCCATGATCATTTCAACGGCACCACTAGTGCTTACTTCTGTTGTGCTTTAGCTGTTGTTGGTACCATGTAGAAAATTAGGGTTAAGGTTCCCGTTAGAATAAGGACACGGGTTGAAATCAATGTTGTGAAATCAAACTCGCCTGCAGATTCTGCTTCAAATCTGGAACATGGCGATGTAAGCTGAGATTATCTGAGATATTAAAAATTTGGAAAGAGGTGAAATGAATGAGGGGATAAGGTAACCAGTGATGGACGATTGTGGATATACTTTAACCAACGATGGACAATTGTTGGTGTACTTCAACCAACGATGGACAAATGTGGGTATACTTTAATCAACGCTGGATGATTGTGGGTATACTTTAACCAACAATGGACGATTGTGGGTATACTTTAACCAACAATGGACGATTGTGGGTATACTTTAACCAACGATGGACAAATGTGGGTATACTTTAACCAACGATGGACGAATGTGGGTATACTTTAACCAACGATGGACAAATGTGGGTATACTTTAACCAACGATGGACGAATGTGGGTATACTTTCACCAACAATGGACGAATGTGGGTATACTTTAATCAACGCTGGACGATTGTGGGTATACTTTAACCAACAATGGACAAATGTGGGTATTCTTTAACCAACGATGGACAAATGTGGGTATACTTTAACCGATGATTGACAAATGTGGGTATACTTTTACCGATGGACAAATGTGGGTATACTTTAACCAATGATGGACAAATGTGGGTATACTTCAACCAACGATGGACAAATGTGGGTATACTTTAACCAATGATGGACAAATGTGGAGATACTTTTACCGATGATGGACAAATGCGGGTATACTTTAACCAACAATGGACGAATGTGGGTATACTTCAACCAACGATGGACGAATGTGGGTATACTTAAACCAACGATGGACGAATGTGGGTATACTTAAACCAACAATGGACGAATGTGGGTATACTTAAACCAACAATGGACGAATGTGGGTATACTTCAACCAACGATGGACGAATGTGGGTATACTTAAACCAACAATGGACGAATGTGGGTATACTTAAACCAACGATGGACAAATGTGGGTATACTTCAACCAACGATGGACCATTGTGGGAATACTTGAACCAACGATGGACGAATGTGGGAATACGGTTACCAACCGAGGTAATAAGTAACTAACAATGAATGAAAGAAGGCGTGTGATGACAAATGTTTTATGAATGAGGGAATACGGTAACCAACGATGAATAAATGAGGGAATACGGGAACCAACAATAAATATATGAGGGAATACGGGAACCAACGATGAATTAGGTAACTAACAATGAACGAATGAGAGAAGAGTTAACTAACGATGGACGAATACGGAAACGCATGGTGGCCGAATGAGGGAGTACGGTAAAGAAAGAGCCTTTTCTTTGGATACCATAGTTCTTACAACAGTGTCCAGTGTCCGTAGATGTTGCTGTTGCGAGCGAGAGAATCTGTAACAGGTGATGCCACACTCACAACCCATTTGTTTGTCCGTCCACAGTCAACATAGGGATCCGTGAACTTTACTGACATCGTTTTATCGTAAACGTAACTATGGTAATTTGGACCCTAAAACAAAACGTTGAATAAGTGCCGTCGTCTCCATCCTTAGTTATTGCATAGACGTCCTTTGGCATTTAGTACGTCCAACCAAGAACCCTGAAACCGTCAAAATAAAGGAATGCACGTGGTCGTACTTCTTGCGTATACATGTAACAAATTATGTCATCAACACAACACCTTCACACTCATCACAATCTTGCGGCAGTTGATCCTCACATGACCTAGACTT